AGCACTATGAATGGATGTGTACTTGTCAAAGGACCCCTGATAACACAGCAGCTAAGCGCTCCGTACCTAACAGAAGGGTCAACTGTTGAAACTGCCAGCTGCTCCATGGGAGAAAGGTGTAGCAGTTTCATTCCATAAAGAGTCCAGCTTTGAAAACCCTATGGGGTTAGTTCTACTCTGTCTTTCCTATAGGGTCATAGTGAGTCAGAATTGACTCAGTGGCAATGAATTTTGTTGTTTTGGGTTTTTTTTTTGTTGCTTTCCCCCCCCCCCCTTTGTTTTCTGGTGTATAGTACTTGTTACTACACGGGAGAAGGCACTCATCATTAAGAACGAACATTCTAGGATTAAACTCCTTGGGGAGTCTTTTGTCACCCTTTCCATCTCCAATTTCTCTTGTGATATCCACAGCTCATCCTAGCCCCCCCACCCTACTTCTGTGCCTTCCACAATTGTACACATGATTCTGCTCAGTAATTGTGGACTGCTTGGCTCAGAAATCGTTAAGGGCGGGACTGCATCTCCTTGGTGGAGTGCCACCATACATTCCAGTTTGCCAGGACCAGCGTTGGTCTACATGGATCATCCTGGTGTAATACTTAATTTGTTGTTGCTCTTAGTTGTCATAGTTATTAATAGGGCCTGCCCTTTTATTTTCAAAACTGCCCTGGTTTGGATGATAAATGACATGGTCACCCTATCTTTGTAGTCTCCATGACCAGTGTGGTAGGTAGGGCTTGCTGCATGGACAGCGCATGGTGTAGGGACCCTGTCTGTAACTGTAGGGCATAATAGTGGTGTCTCTCTTATGGAATATTGAGGATTAAATGAGGCACTGCACTTAATACTCTGGTAGTGTAGTGGTTACGAATTAGGTTCAAATCGCAAGGTCAGTAGTTCGAAACTATCAGCTGCTCCACGGAAGAAAGAGGAGGCTTTCTGCTCCTGTAAAGATTTACAGCCTCGGAAATCCTGTACAGGGTCGCTATGGGTCGGAACCGACTTGACAGCACTTAATGGTGGTGGTGGTTATATGCCATGGAGTCAGAACCGACTCATAGTGACCCTAAACAGGGTTTCCAAGGCTGCAACTCTTTACGGGAGCAGAAAGACTCATTTTTCTCCCACAGAACAGCTGGTAGTTTCGAACTGCTGACCTTGAGGTTCGCAGCCCGATTCATAACCACTTCACTACCAGAGCTCCTTAGGCACTTAGTACCACAAGTTAAATGTCATCAGCAAATAACAAAGGATGAAAGATCAGAGGCTAGAGAAGCAGAAATCTGAAGATGTTCGTCTTATACACGTAGAGACTAGGAGAGGAGGAGAAGAGACATTTGGAATCTGCTTTTAGTCTTGCTCCATTCACACTAATAAACACCTACAACCGTGTAAGTCTGAAAAATCAAAACCCTAGGAGCTGAAATATGGAGTGTTTTTCACTTTTCTTTAAGTCAACACCTTCTAGAGGTAGAAGTTTCTAGAGGAACCAGAAGCAACATACACCAAGGGCCACAGACCTCTCACAGTACTGTTGGGGGCCTTAGAGGCTGCCACCATCTTTCCCAGTAGGGAAGGTTTGTGGAGGCACACCAGACAGAGACTTAATATTCAGGCATTGGGGCTGGTATCAAGTGAATGTCAGCCCTATCAAATGCTGGTTCTTATTGAATGACCCCTGTCTCCCAGCAGAAAAGTAAAAATGTGATCTCTTAAGTCTCCAAGCCTTTTTTTACAATATGGCCAACGGGGCAAGAGAGGAAAAGACGAGGCTGAATAGGTGAGGTACCACCAATGGCATGATGTGAGGTCACCTGAGCCAAATCCTATCTTTGAAAGCAGGGTTTTTTCCCTAGACCTGCAGCATGCTTGTAACAGAAATAGAATCATTTTGGGCTGACAGTTACAGTCCAGGGGTACATGTTTTGAGGTACCATGAGAAAAATGAACTGTTTGAGAGAAAAATGAACTGAGAATCTTAGATTTCTTATAGGAAAAGAGAGAAACCAATAGCATAGTGGATTTTTCTTGGCATTTCCTAGACTGTAAGCACCATGTGAGCAGGGACTGATTGTTTTGTTTGCCAGTGTATACTCAGAACCTGGGAGGAGCTCTGATAGCATAGTGGTTATGAATCAGGCTGCTAACCTCAAGGTCAGCAGTTTGAAACTACCAGCTGTTCTTTTGGAGAAAAATGAGTCTTTCTGCTCCTGTAAAGAGTTGCAACCTCAGAAATCCTGTTTAGAATCACTGTGAGATGGAACCAACTCCACGGTACTTCACAACAACAATTTGCTGTTGTTAAATACCGTAAAGCCAGTTCTGACCCATAGGGTTTCCAAGGAACAACTGGTGAGTTTGAACCACTGACCTTGTGGTTCAAACTAACTTTGTGGTCTAGTGCTTATCCTACAGCACCACATCAGCACAGACCCTGGAGGCTAACAAATATTTGGTGACTGAAGAAATAAATAAATGAATGGCTTTAATAATGAGGTTTTGTTCAAGCTTTGTAAATATTATCATTTTAGAAGGGAAGTTTCAGGGAATAAAAGGGCGTGAGTTGATACCTTAAGCGCTGATTTGAAAGTCACACCAGTTTTGACAAAGAAGAGCAGCCTGAGGACACTGGCATGTGGCACAGACTAGTAGGTCCTCACCTGGATCCCCCTCCAAGTTACATACTGTGGAAAGAACCATCTGTATGCATGATCATATTCTTCCCTTTTTGTGTCTGTTATTAACCTATTGTCTTTCAGCTACAAACCTATCAGTCTGTCCATGGCCCCTCCTATGAGCTCAGAGATGTCAGCACCAGCCTCATCGATCTGGTTTCTCAGAGGTTCCAGTTTCAGCTCCAAGTCTCTCTAAATCCAGCCTAGGCTCTTGCTTGTACACTAAACCACCAGCTTACTGGTTGCCTTGGAGTCAATACCACCTCATGGCGACCCTATATGTGTCAGAATAGAACTGTGTTCCATAGGGTTTTCAATGGATGATTTTGTTGGAAGTAGCTCATGAGGGCTTTCTTCTGAGGTGGATTTGAACCATCAACCTTCCAGCTAAGTGCATGAATCTTTTGCACCACCCAGGGATGCCTTGCTTCTTTCAAGGGCTCAGTAAATGTCTATGATGGCTTATTGTTTTTGTTAAGTGCCATAGAGTTGGTTCCGACCCATAGTGACCCTATACAGGATTTCCGAGGAGCAGCTGGTGAGCTTGAACAGCCGACCTTGCAGTTCAAATGGCTTTGCAGTGTTATGCATTAACCCACAGGGCCACACCAGGATGGCTTATAGTGGATTGCGTTTCATTGAATTTCATATACAGTGTTTTGTCTGGTGCGCTGTGAGATGCACAGTAATTTTAGAGATGCTAAAATGTGAAAAAATAATGCACAACATTGAATCCAATGAAGTATGGCATCACACTAAGCTGGACTTTATTGTTTCCCTTTGAGACTTCCTTTAGGACTTAGAGTTCTTCCCACTGCACAACATGGGCGCTCTGAAATGCAGTGGATTGGCAAAGGAATTATATGGGCAGTGTTATGGATTAAATTGTGTCCCTCCCAAAATATGTGTTGGAATATTTATCCTTTTACCTGTGGATAAGGAGCTTACCAGCCGCTCTGTGGGAGAAAGGTGAGGCTTTCTGCTCCTGTAAAGATTTACAGCCTTGGAAACCTTGTACAGGGTCACTATGGGTCGGAATCGACTCAATGGCACTTAACAACAACAAGGAGCTCTGGTAGTGTAGTAGTTACGAGTCAGGCTGCTAATGTCCCAGTCAGCAGTTCAAAATGCCCAACTTGATTCTATGGAAGAAAGATGAGACTGTCTGTCTCCCATAAGATTTATGTCCTTGGAAACCTATATAGAGTTACTTTGAGTCAGAACCAACTCCATGGCGCATCATCACCACCACCACCACCACCACCATACCTGTGGATAAGAAACACTGGCAGCACGATGGTTAAGCACTCAATTGCTTACCAAAATATCAGCAGCACCACCACCACCACCACCATACCTGTGGATAAGAAACACTGGCAGCACGATGGTTAAGCACTCAATTGCTTACCAAAATATCAGCAGCTGGAACACATCAGCACCTCCACAAGAGAAAAGATCTAGTGATCGCTTCCTGTAAAGATTGCAGCCTAGGAGACCCTATAGGGCAATTCTACTTTATCCTACAGGCACTGTGAGTTAAATCAACTCAAAGGCACTCAACAACAGACTATCTGTGAATATAATCCTATTTGGGAGTAGAGTTTCTTCTTTGTTATGTTAACAAGGCCATATCAGTGGAGGGTGTGTTTTAAGTCAATCACCTTTGATATTTGAAAGAGTGTATTAGACACAGAAGCAAGCAAACACAGATGGGGAAGCTATATAGCACATGAAGACTGCTAAGGACTGAGGAACAGAACTTGAAAAGACGTTTAAGAGCCAAAAAATTAAGTAAATAAAGAGAGAGGTGTCCCTTAGAGCCAATGCCCTGAATCCAAACTCCTAGCCTCTGAAACTTTGAGCAAATACATTTCTGTTTGGTAAAGCCACCCATTCATGGTATTGTGCCAATCCAATCCACTGCACTTTTAAACGGCCATGCAATGTAGTGGGAAGAACCCAACTCCCTGAAGGAGAGTCTCAAAGAAAAACAAGCATGTCCTTGAAGAGCTTCCTAGCTCAGTGACATTGTATTTCATTGACTCTACAATGCACACTTTTAGTTATCTGCAACAATGGATTCATACTTGGGGTGGGCCAAAGAAGACTGCAATCTGGACACGCAGGACTGCAGGTGGGAAGCATTCGTCCCAGGACAGAGAAGCATGTCTGCCTGCAAAGGGCACTTGTCAGAGAGGCTCAGTGAGTCCTGGTGAGGTAAACAAGCACACTGGCTCCTCACATAACCCTCGTTCCCACGGTTCATTAGCCCCATACCTCACTTTCAGACCACAAGGCAGCCGAGATGACAAACATATGTTGTTACCTCTGCCTTTTCCTCAGGGTCCAGTTCGTCCAGATCAGAAGCCGTATCTGTCTGATGAAGCCCATGCTGGTTACCATGTGAAGCCCAGGCGGTTACTCCAGAACCGCATGTCTGACTGAGGCCCCAGGACAGCAGTGGGCATAAATGCCACCCAGGGCACCTCTGGTCCAGGTTGCTGTGCCCTTCTCTGGGAGATTAAAGGCCACTTTCCCTCTTCAAAGCATAATCTTTTCCAATTACACATAAGCTTTTTGTCAGAGAGACGTCAGACACTACATTGGCTCTTGTTTTAGTGTGAGAAAGCCACTAAAGGAATTGAGATACGGACATATAATTGGAACCCAGACCTTATAGACTTCTCTATCAGAGGGGCTCCTGAGGGGGATGGCTTTGAATCTCTGACCTTTATGTTTGGGACAAAACCTCTTTGCTTAGGTGTAGGCTGGACATTTGTCCTCCATGAGCAGCAGGGTTGACTGTCCCTCTAAATTTGATTAGGCCACTAGCCAGATCTGAATGATAATTCCCCCCCACACCCCACCCCTTTTTTAAAGCTATTCATCTCAATGTGTATGACTTTAGACCAGCAATATGGGTAAATGATTTTTATCTGTTGTGCTAAAATTGGTCAACTAGTTGTGGCTGTGCTGGAAAAGATATGGAAACTTTCCAGGCTCAAAGGGACAGTGTCTGGGATTGATTAGCAATGTCTGACACTGGCCTGGGCAGGAGGAGAGAGAGCAGTAAGTCAATTCTTGTCTTTCCAGCTTAGCAGTGGTTGTTACAGGCTGGACATATGACCTAGTAGCTGAGCTATAATTCTGAAGGCACCCTCAACCAGAAGTTTCCTTGGTACTTTGCCACTGAGAACTTTCTGCTTCTACCTCTTCAAATCTCAGCTATTCCTTGTGTTTATAAGATCCCAGATCCCTAAGACCCAAGAAGAGGTAGAGGGAGAGCCATAGAGTGGCGTGGATGAGGACTTCATGGACATTGTAGGAGCAGTTGTAGCTCACACAGGAACTTAGATATATTAAGAAAGATTTGGGCTGTCTATGGTGGGGCCTAAGAGACAGACTATGTTTCTGCTTCACAAATCAGAAAGGAAAGGAGGCTTTGAATTGGTGACATTCAAAATAAGCTCTGATGAATCACAGAATATTTTATTGTAACTTTACAATATACACAAGTTTCTTTTCTGGCATGTTATCTCATTTTATTCTTACTACAGTTTTTAAATATTTACTGATGAAGATCAAAGGCCATGGCCTTCAGTATGGGTTATACCTCAATGTAAAGAAAACAAAAATCTTCACCACTGGACCAATTATTAGCATCAAGATAAATGGAGAAAAGATTGAAGTTCTCAAATACTTCATTTTGCTTGGTTTCACCATAAACACTCACGGAAGCAGCAGTCAAGAAATCAAACGATGTATTACATTAGGCAAATCTGCTGCACAAAACCTCTTTAAAGTGTTCAAGAACAAAGATGTCAGTTTGAGGACTAAGGTGCTCCTGACCCAAGCCATGGTATTTCATAGCCTCATACGCATGTGAAAGCTGGACAATGAATAAGGAAGACAACAGAAGAATTGATGCTTTGAGTTATGGTGTTGGAAAGAACATTAAAAGGTACCATCGATTGCCAAAAGAACAAACAAATCTGTGTTGCTTCAGAAGCACAGCCAGAGTGCTCCTTGGAAGCCAGGATGGCCAGACTTCATCTCTCATATTTCTTTCTCCAGTCCCTGGAGAAAGACATCATGTTTGATCAAGTGGAGAATCAGCGAAAAAGAGGGAGACCCCCACCATGATGGATTGTCACAGTGGCAGCAGTAATGGGCTTAAGTGTAGCAGTCATTGTGAAGATGGCATAGGACTGGGTATGTTTTGTTATATTGTAAATAGAATCACTATGAGTTGGAACCGACTCAACAGCACCTAACAACAACAACCGTTTTTGAAGGAGGTATTTGCTCTATTTTGGAGCCCTGGTGGCATAGTGGATTACCAGCTGGGTTGCTAACCAAAAACAGCAGTTTAAATCCACCAGTTGCTCCATGGGTGAAGGGTGAAGCTTTTTGTTCCTGCAAAGATTTACAGCCTTAGAAACCCTATGAAGGGTCACTATGAGTTGGAGCTGACTCATCAGCATGAAACCACCACCACCACCACCACCATCACTGTTTGTTCTATTTATAGATGAGGAAACTGAGTCAAGTAGAATTAAGTACTTGACTCAGGGTCACACATAACAAAGCTGGGTTCTTGAGCCAGTCATCTTAACTCTGTGCAAAGACAAGAAGGCAGAGGCAGTTTATCCTGCCTAGGGAGCCATTAGAAGTGAAGCATGACCCTAGTGAAGGGCCAGGATGGAGGAATATGGGAGAGGGGCTCAGAATTGGACACCAGAACATAATGAAAATTTGAAAAGACTTATTGATCCAATTGAGACTTAGTGAGCACCTATGATGTGCTCTCTTAGTGACCCACAGGTGCACAGTACCCCCAAACAGAAGCAATCTCTGTGCAGGGTCATTAAGTCACTGTTGGCTAGTGAAAGAGTATGGGCTTTATCATGCAGGGGACTCTGAGATTGCAAAGCCATGGTGACAGTGATGAGTAAATTCACTGGGCAGAGTGTGGTGGACCAAGAGGAAGTAGGGGACCTCCGCAGTGGCAGCGACAGTTGCACGGAGAACTGGAGAGGGATTTGAAAGAGAGGAAGGAAGGCAATACAGCAGGAATAGGTGACTTACTGGAAGTGGGTGGTAGGGAAGAGAAAGAATGTAGAATGACTGGGTTTGGGGCTCGGGTGGCTGGATAGCCAGATGGTGGTACCCACTCTGAGGGAGAAATGCCAGGGAGGGTGGTGGTAAATATGGAGTAAGAGGGAATGCAGAGGAAGGGTTTGCCTTTAGTTATACTGAGCTTGAAGTCCCTCTGTCTACCTGTAGAAAGTTGGTGGTACAATGTTAAGCACTCTCCTGCTATCCAAAAGGTTGACTCTTTGAAGGCACAAACAACTCCGTGGGAGCAAGATGCGGCAGTCTGCTCCTGTAAACGATACAGCCTTGGAAACCCTGTGGGGCAGTCCTGCTGTGTCCTAGAGAGTCACTATCAGTCGGCAGCAACTCCATAGCAATTTTTGGTTTTTAAAATGGTTTTTGGTTTTTTAAATAATGACATCTAAGTGGAGAGATTCACCAGGTGGTTGGGCCTGGAGCTAAAGATTGAGGTTTGGAAACAGAGATATAGATTTGGGAATCATCATTTACAGGTGGAGGATTAAGCCCTGGGAGTGATTAAACAGAATACCCAGGTAGAATAAGTGTAGAGGGTGTGTGGGGTGAGGGAATAAGTTGTTGTTGTTAAGTGCCGTCAAGTAGGTGCCAACTCATAGCAACCCTGTATAGGGTGTTCACGGAGTGGTTAGTGGTTTTGAACCACTGACTATTGTGGTTAGCAGTCTAGTGCTTATCCTACAGAACCACACCAAGCCACACCAAGGTCACAAGCCACACCAATTCTTTCAAATTCCCAGAGAGAAGAAAAACATCATAATACTCACATATCAGCCATGTGAATTGTGGCATCGTTTTTAATGACACATTTGTCAAGGAGTTAGAAAAGAAAAGGTTAAACTATGAGCATTTTGTTATAATTCAATTGATGACTGCAATAGTTATTCCTATCTGACTTGTGTTCTTCTAGACTGAAGATTACTATTTGTTGACTTGACACTTATTCTTTTATACACTGTCACTGTTATAGCTGTGGCCAGGGGAGTCTTTCCTCCCTGCTACCTCTAAGTAACTGCAGTTGTTTGAAAATTGTGTCAAAATAGAAGCCTGTGTTCTGAATTTTCTTAAATATTTCTGAGACTACATCTAGTTAGCCAAGAATGATACTGATGAAAACTGAACATTTTCTCCTCATAATTACCATTGTTGCTGTTGTTAAGTGTCCTGGAGTCGATTCTGACCCATAGCGACCCTGTATAGGGTTTCCAGGAGCGATTGGTAAGCTTGAACCGCAGACCTTGTAGTTCAAACGGCTTTTCACTCTGGCGCATTAACCCACAGAGTCACACCAGGATTACCATGGCAATTACCATGCTCAACAGTAATTAACCAAGTTCAATCTGGAATTGATGTAAAATGGAGAGAAAGTAGTCATTTCAAGTTAAATCTTTTGCTGTTGCGTTACCTCTACTTGTTGTTCAGCGCCATCGAATGGGTTCTAATAGCGACCCTATAAAGGATTTCCAAGGAGTAGCTGGTGAGCTTGAACAAACCGTATAAAATACAGCAGCATGGGCCCATAGGATTTCCAAGGCTGCAAATCTTTACAGAAACAGTACTACATCTTTCTCCCTTCCGACTGGCTGGTGGATTCAAACTGCTGGTCTTTTGGTTAGCAGTTGAGCAGTTAATGGCTGTGACCCTAGGCTCCTCATTTCAGGCTGTTGTTGTTATTAAGTGCTGTTGAGTCACTTCCTGCTTAGCAGCCCTGTATAAGGAGCTCTGGTAGTGTGTAGTGGTTACGAATCGGGTTGCGAACCTCAGGTTCAGCAGTTCAAAACTACCGCGGGAGAAAGATGAGGCTTTCTGCTCCCGTAACGATTTACAGCCTTGGAAACCCTGTACAGGGTCGCTATGAGTCGGAACCGACTCCACGGCACATAACAACAACAGCTACAACCCTGTTTAGAGTTTCTGAGGAGTGGCTGGTGAATTTAAACTGCCGACTTTGAGGTTAGCAGTCTAGTGCTTATCCTACAGCACCACGCCAGGGTTCCTATTTCAAGCTTGTTTTTGTTAAGTGCCGTCAAGTCTGCTCCAACACATGATGACCCTGTACGGGGTTTCCGAGGAGCAACTGGTGAGTTTAAACCACTGACCTTGTGGTTCAAAGTGACCTTATGGCTCAAACCGACCTTGTGGTCCAGTGTTTTATCCTACAGCGCCACACCAGGACACCCCATTTCCAGTTGTTGGTAAATGCTATGGAGTCGGTCTGACCCATAGCGACACTATATAGGGTTTCCCAGGAAGAGCTGGTGAACTTTAACTGCCGA